TAGCTTTGGTGAGTGCAAGAGGCCAGAGCAGACTGAGAATCTGACAGTGTAGCCTAATCCATAGTGGAGAGAGGCAGACTAGAGCATGGCCATGTGGGCGGGGCCTGTCAATCACAGAGATCAGGGACACAGGCACAGAAAAACAACTCTCAAAGCTTGCACCAATTGCTGAACATGTTATTTGTAGTTCAGCCAAATCAAGCAGGTTTTCAGTAGGACAGTGTTCTGACCTGTGTATGTTATGTCCCCTCAAAGTCTCAGGTGGTCATAGGTGGGCTTTTTTAGAGGTGGCTGGATCTAGAGTGTGTGATGCTGGGATTGAGGAGAAGTAATTTCTAAATCAATCCACTGATTGGTTTGGCACAACCTTGAACCCACAGCCTAGATAGAATATAAAAGCAGCAGTCAAAAGTTGCTATTGTCAGGGGCCAGGAAGATGGCTCAATGGAATAAGCGCTTCCCTAGCAAGCGCAAGGGTCTGAGTTCAATTCCTGGTTCCGCAAAAAAAAAAAAAAAGTTGCTATTGTTACTTGTGTCTTGCTTTTGCTGTCCTCTGCCTGCCATAGACTTTCTCCTCTGCAATCCTGTCATGCCACCCTGCCCTGGAGCCAGTTTGCCATGCATTGAAACCCCTACAAACTGAGCTAAATAAACCTTTCCTCCCATAACTTTGTCTGATATTTTGTCTCAGCAATGAGAAAAGTAACTAAGACAGCCCACAAGAGACACAAGGACTACGAGAGATACCGCCATTAACCTCCCGGCCCTAGTGCCCTCTCTGGTCTGTTTTCACTCTGTAGCACTACTTTTTTCTCGCCTTTAATAAATGTAAAACTTCACTAACTTTTGTACATGTCTTGTCCAATTCTTTGTTCCACACAAGACCTTGGAAAGATCCCACAGCCCCCGAGAGCCCAGTAACACTGGAGGCAGATGTGTGGGTATCTGAGACAGGCAGGGACAGAGCAGCTACAAAAAGCCACATAAAGACTTGGGGGAGGGATGGTTACCCTGATTGTGGTGCCAGTTTCACAGAGGGTTACATAGGCCAAAACTCATCCAATGAAATATTTTGAATAGGTTCCATCTACTACATGTCCCTAAAGTCAAAAATAAAGGCAGGAGGACACCAATTTCAAAACATAAATGGAAGTGCCTGTTTTTGGCTCAAATATAAGCTTAATGTTAATAGTCTTGTTTAGACAGTTTCCTTGATTGATAAACAGCCAAGTTTAACTTAATTTCTTCCTTTTTTTAGACAGGATGGCCGTGAACTCATGGTGATTACATAGTTCAGCTAGCCTTGAACTCATGGTGATTCTCCTGCCTGTTTTCTCCATGCTGAAATTATAGGTGTGTACCACAAGGCCCAACTAATTTAGCTCTTCTGTATGAACTGTTCAGGCTGCTCTAACAAAATAGCAGGGGGAGGGTAAAACAAGAGGGGTATCCCTCCCTCCTTTGGTTAAGGCCATATCCCTCCTATCAGTTCAGATACTATGGCCTCATTTAACCCAAATTACCCAGAGGCCCCTTCTTCTAATGGAAGACGCAGGTGTCAGACAAATTTGGGACCAGGGCATAGATGGAATCATGGACACCAGGCCTGCCATCGACTTTCCAGCCTCTCAATTTTCTCAGCAGAATTTATGTGATGTAAGCAGATTGCAAGCCCTTCTTTTATCCATCAACTCAATTTGCTAGATGAGCTTTTATCCTAGACTATGGAGGGATCATTCATCTTTCCAAATCAGGACTGTTTCTATCCTCCCAGCAGACTGGAAAGAAAGAACTGGCAAAAATTCTTTCACTCAAACATAAAGTAACACCCTTACTCTAGCCCTACTTACAAACTACTACAAAGCATAACAGACTCCACTTGACAAAAACAAAATGTTTTTTTTTCAAGACAGGGTCTCATTATGTAGCCCAGGTTGGCAGTAAATTCATAGTAATCCTCCTGCTTCAGCCTCCCCAGTGCTAGGGTTAAGGCCTGGTAAGAAATATTCTTTGCAAAAGTACTACCCCAGCCCTGCAGTGTGCGAGTGGCTCACACTGAGGCTGACAAACAAGCCTGCATCTGAAATGTCCCCGAGTCTCAGCTCCCTGAGGGCAGGGAACAAAGCCATAGGGTCACCCCAGTGTTGACCAATCCCAACAGTAAGACTCAGGAACCCTGCTGGCCACTGGGTCAAGGAGTCAGGCTGACGCAGTATTTGCTGCAGCTTCTGAATTCTAGTGCCAAGAACATGGGACACTGCCAGAGACAAATGGATCTGTGCTGGTTACTTTACTTTCAGGCACAGGACCTACTTTATGTCCATGAGAAGACAGCAGGGCACTGTTACCAGCGCCCATCCTCTATGGCCCCTTTGCAGAGGGCAATTCGGGCCACAGCATCCCGCTGTGACTCTGACTCTGTGCTGACCTGACCACCTGAGGTCACAGGCAGCACAAGATCTCGGCAAATGGCTAAAATAAAAGTCCTGGAGGAGCAGCCTCCTCTGATGGACCTCTGCAAGCCAGATGAGACGAGCCTGGGCTCCTGCAGGCTGAAGCAGATCTCACACTTTCCCACTCTGAGTCCCTTTCTGAGACAGGGTCTAGCTTTGTAACCTAGGCTGGCATCAGGTGAGCAGCGGAGGGGATGGGCTGGCACAAGGCGCAGAATAAAGGAATCCTGGAAGCAGCCTGTCTATCCCTCCACAGACAAATGGATAAAGAAAGTATACTTTTTTTTTTTAATTTTATTTATTTGTGTGTGTGTGTGTGTGTGTGTGTGTGTGTGTGTGTGTGTGGTCAGCTCAGCCCAGCAGGGGGCGGGGCTGGCTGGCATGTGGTGCTGGGGGATTGAACCGCGGTCCCAGTGCTTTGCTAAGCTTGTTCTAAGTAGGTGCTTTAGACCACTGAGCCATCTCACCAGCCCAAGAAAGTATATTCTTTAAAGTAAATGTTTGTTAAGAAAAAAAAATAAGTAAAAGAAAATAAAAGACAAAAAAACAAAAGAAAAGGGAGCTGGGGAGATGGCTCAGTAGAAAAAGTGCTTCCTTGGCAAGTGCAAGGGCCTGAGTTCAATCCCCAGTTCCACCAAAAAAAAAAAAAGAAAAGAAAAAAAGAAAAGAAAATTAAAAATAAAGAGAAGAAAGTGTACTTACATATGGTAAAGTACTACTCTACCATAAAGAAAGGCAACTTTAGTCATTTGTAAGAAAATGGATGCAACTTGAGACCATGAGTGAAATAAATCAACACACAAGCTTAAATAGCCCATAGCTTCTCTTATATGAAAAGCCCAAAGCACACATTAATTAAAGAGCAAATTGAAAGATGCTAGGAAACAGGCAGATGGATCTTTTGCAAAAGGGAAGGGGACCAAAAGGAGGAAGGGAAGGAAAAGGAAATGTAAAATAATTAATTAAAATGCATGAAGCCAGGTACAGTTTAGTGGGGCATGCCTGTCATGCGAGTACTCAGGAGCTGAGGTAGACCAGCTTGGGTTACACAGTTCAAGGCCAACCTAAACTACACGACAAGATCCTGTGTCAGAAAACCAAAAACCAAAATAAAACAACAAACTCTGGGTTTTTGTTTGCAGTGGGGTCTCACTATGTAGCCTAGGCTGACCTTGAGCTTGGGGAAATCCTCCTGCTTCAGCCTCCCAAGTGCTTGTGTCCTATCTTAAAGGAAGACCTGAGCACACATCTGTCCACCCAGCCAGCATATGGCCTTGACATTTGTGGGATGTAAATGTGCCCTGCAAAAGAAGAGGTCTGCCTCTCTCTTCTCAATGAGGTCACCAGACTTCCCCAGCAGGCCTGACCTTTGGCCCAGCTGCAGATCAGAGTGGGGTGCTTCCGCCTCCTGCCCTGAACTTGGTTCCAAAGTCAGGTCTCCACCAGCCCCGGTGGAGCTGTGCAGCCTCTTCTAGCCCATGTGTCCTCCACTGAGGATGGCCAATGGCCACCTAAGTGTTTCAGAGTGACTTTGTCACCCTCCCAGGACAGGGCAGGGGCACACAGTGGTCCCAACTCTAGGCGTAGGTGGTGCTCGAGGTCAAAGCCACATCTGGTCCCAGACCTGCATTTCCTCTTCCACACATGCACATGAGCACAAGCGTCTGTGCACACGCAATACACCTATACCTCACTCATGCTCCTATGGGGCAGGATTCAATATTTATTTATTAGGAACAGCAGCAGTTAAAGAATCACTCTAAAAACCAAAAAAAAAAAAAAAAAAAAAATAAAGACCCAAATATATACATAATGTACAATGTTTGAACATCTATGTTTATAATTTTAAATTTTATCTCGTGTAGACACAT